GGGTGACAGAGAGAGAGAGAGAGGGGGAGAGAGAGAGAGAGAGAGGAAGTGAGAAAACAAGCTACCAGGTCCGGGACTCAAACCGTGGTCAGCCATGTGGGAGTGTCCAGCGCCTTAACCACCATGCCACCTGCTGGTCCCCGCCCCCCAATTGTTTTCTTAAATGGTAATAATGGACCTACAACAGATAAGTTCATATGACAGGGCGATTCGTATTATTTGTCACCGCCCTGTAGGAATAATAACTGCCTGGAAAGAGACGCCACTTGGTCTGTTCTGCCGTAGGCTGAGGACGACCTTGCTGCGGTTGAGCGCCGCGCGCCGGGACCTGCGTGCAGAGGCTGCGGCTGCGGCGGCGGCGCAGCTCTCGGAGCCCGCAAGGCTGCGGAGCAACGCGGGGTGGCGGTCGCGCCTCTCCACGCACCAGCGCCCCCTGATGCAACTGCTGCAAGGGCAGGTCCAGCGCGGCGGCAGCCCCTCTGCTCCCCGCGGTGCCCAGCCTCGCGTCCGCGCGGGACCTAGACGGCTGCACACCGCTGGAGCGCCGGTGCCTGAGAAACCCAAGACGGGTGAGGCTCGGGGCCAAGTTCCCGCCAGGGCTGAATAGGGGGAAGAGCGCGGTGCCAGCCACGCTTCCTCGCTGTTGTATTCCGCCCACCCGCCCACTCTTCCTTTGTTCTCACCCTCTTTTCTGCCTCCCTAAGATCTTTTTATCCTGAGTGGGAAGTCAGGCTGAAAATCTCAGTTCACCGCGGAGTACTGCTGAGCTGACAAGCAGGCGGCAGGAACCGGGAACTGTCCAGGTCGATTCTGCAAGGGGTCCCCAGGAGATGCAGAGAACACTGCGGCCTTGCTCAAATGTCAGGCCAAAGAGCCCGCATTTTCAGAACAGCGGAGCCTATAAACCTGGGAATCCTAGCCTTTTGGAGAAGTAAACTTCTTTAAAACCATGACCTAGGGGCCAGCAGGTGGCATGGTGGTTGAGGCGCTGAATTTCCATATGGTTGAGTATGGTTTGAGTCCCAGACCAAGTGGCTTGTTTTCTCACTCTCCCTCTCTCTGCCTCTGGTCTGGCTTGTTTTCTCACTCTCCCTCTCTCTGCCTCTGGTCAAATTGAATAATAGTGGTAATTTTTAAAAATTCATATGTGAAGTCTTTTTTTAAAATTATTTTTATTTAACTATTTATTTATTTATTTATTTATTTAGTTATTTATTTATTTATTTATTTATTTATTTTAATTTGACCAGAGAGGGACAGAAAGAGAGAAAGTGAGAAAGCAAGTCACCAGGTCCGGGATTAGAACAGTGGTCAGTCATGTGGGAGTTCAGTGCCCTTAACCAGCATGCCACCTGCCAGACCCCAAGAATAATAATAATTAAAAAACAAAAAACAAAAAACATGATCTAAACTAAGGTCCTTTCGCCGGGCTTCATGGCCTGGTGGTTAAGGCAGACAGATACCACGGGACCCATCCCACCAGAAACACTTCGGGTCAATGCCTACATGCCTAAAATCCCCAAAGGAGGGAAGAATGGAGAAGGGATTGAGGAGTGACCATAGAGGTGGGAGTGTGTGCTTTATCTTTTCCCTCTCTCTCCCTGGCTCTTCCTGGCTCTTTAGTGAAAAGGGAAAAAAAGAAAAAGAAAAAACCAGGGCTCTTCTCCCCAGAAAAATGTATGTACATACAGACAGACTTTTTACACAATTTCCATGGATTCAGAGATTCTAAAAGCCTATCCCTGAAGTCTACTCTGTAAATGATTAGCACAGAAGAGAAGGGACTGCAACAACCACATCACATTGGGGGTACTTTCTCCTTCTCCTTCTCTCTCTCTGTCTCTCTCTCCTGCAAATGCATATGCCCTCTGGCAAAAGAAAGAAAGAAAGAAAGAAAGAAAGAAAGAAAGAAAGAAAGAAAGAAAGAAA